TACTCCTGCTTTTTACAGTAATGCTTGTTTGTCTCCATAGTTGCCCATGTCCAGACACAGAAGTTGCATAAAAAGGCAGCACAAAGCATTGTATCTGTTCGTCAGCAAGCYATGGTATGTCATAGAATTCCTCCTTCCAGCCATTGCTCATCTTGACTGTTACAACATAGTTCAGAATGAAACTCTTGAGCCCTGTAACTGAAATACCTGAAGGACAGTGTTTTGACAGTGGTCTTTCTGTGATGCTGTCCTGGTTGTAACAACAGCCCCCTGCTAATTGTGCTGTGCACATCATCACATCCCTCCATGTGTTCAGYAGGGAATGTTTTCCACTGATGCACTTCTGCTCCTCACTTCCTTTAAGGTTCCTCAGTTGTTCTGCATAGGTTCCCCCCAAATATGCCAGTGGGGCTACAGCAGATTTCAGCCTCCCATATCCTGTGAAATGACAACTTGGCTTTTCATAAAAGTGCCTACTGTAAGGAGAAAAAAAAAAAAAAGCAGTTTAGGCTCTAGGAAGAGCACAGAGCTTTCTCCACATGTTATTACTGCCAAAGGCAAGAGCAGTCACTGGGGCCTGGCTCCACTGGGCAGTTAATCTGCAAATTGGTGCCTCCTCAGAGATGTTTCATTCTCCTTTCTTCARCTTACCTGTTTTTCTGTTCTGTGGGTTGCTTTCACAGCAGGAACAAGCTAATAGGAAGAGGGAGAGAGAGGCAAGTGAAAAGGGAGCAGAAACGGTAGCAGAGTTGCCAACACAAGAAAAGAAACGGCAAAAAATCCCCCAGCAAMCAGAGGAGCTGGAAGGACCGAGGCAGTTAACCCCCTTTGATTACAGCAATTCCAACTTYAAAGTGTTTGCAGGTAAGATCTAATCCCTTGCCAGAGTGCTGCACACTGGAAAATGTTGCCAGTTGAGCCTTGAGAAGGCTGCATTAATGTGGGTGTCAGTACAGTACAAACTGTTACTATGGGCTTACCTTACAGTGGGGAAATGGTTGAATAAATTGACTTGAGGAATGTACACTTTGGTATCCCTTTTCTGTCTGGGAAACAAAATCCTGAAACCACTGGTTGAGTGGGTTGTGGATTTGATTTTGTTTCTTTTCTCTGTTTAATTGGACCCAGGAGCTAGGAAACAAAGAGATCTGACTCCTTTGTCATAAAGCACCTTTTCAGAAACATCTCCTGCCCTTAAAAGATTGTTCCAGATTTCACCATATGGGAAAATAGTGAAACCTCCCCTGTTATCAGAGGAATACTATGGAATGCATTGTTCTTCATAAAAAATTTTAATGACAGCTTCTTTCCTCTCTTGGTTAGGAAGCAGCAAATCAAAGGAGTCGCCACAATTTGATCCTGCCAAGCAAGCTTACACAGGCAAGGTATGGGCTTATCATGAAAGAAGGAACACAAGTGTGAGTGACAGTATGTACCGTGCTGGGGGCTCTCTGGGAGGGCACTTGGGATTTGCTGCATCTGCAGAATGTTTCCTAATGTCTGCTGAGATGCAGCTTTCAATCACAAGTTCATGTTTTGAAGAGGTATTATTACCTCTTCCCAATCAGGAGGAGCTTCCTTGGAGCCCCTCAGACTCTCTTGTTGTTTCCCACCTATTCATACATTGCTCACACCTACGCCTCTGTACATCACAAATATGACACTTGGACCACACAAGCCACCACAAATTCCCAGTACCAATTCAATTCTCAAAAGTCACAGGCATTCCAGTGGTTCCAGGACATGTCATGTTSCTCATGTTCTGTTCCAAGTACTGTTACTAGGAACAGTCTCAGCTCAGATTTTTTAACTTACTGCTAATTGAGATTGAAAAGAAGAAGAAAAAAATCCATGAACAATCAAACCATGAACAGACACAATTTTTTGTGCTGCCTTTTTAATGCATGCTTTGGGAGATCTGTGACCAGCACAGGGAAGTTGATGAGCAGATTTCTGTGAGGTTGGAAAGATCTGGCAGTACATGAATCACATGGAATACACTTGGCAGGAATCTCACTGTGGTCGTGTTTAATTTGTTTGTTTGTGCAGAAATTTGCTGGAGCTAACAAACTGCAACAGTCTGGAAACCAGAGCATGTCCTACCTGTCGGGGAAAGCTGAAAGGTGTGTTGTCAGCCTATTTTCATCCAGCTGGAGTGTTTGCACCCCTCTGCCCCAGAGCCAAGGGCAGAACTTAGCTATTGTCCTCAACTGCTGTAGGAGCTTTAGCATATGTTTACTGGAAGAGATTGCATCACAGCCTGACATCAGTTTAAAGGACAAAAAGAATTCCCAACGATTTAGGATTAATGCAATCAAAGACAAGTCTGGGTGGAAGGTTTGAAATGCTGAGATAAAAGTTTGTGTTAAAGGGTGTGGGAGTTGCTTTCTTTGATCAGAGATAAGTGGAAGTGGAGAGAACATCTGCCTAGCTTGGGATGAATAACAAGTATGAACATTTTTGTTCTGAATAGATACTTAATGGATTTGATTCATGTGTAAAAGAGGAACACTACCTAAGGGCAGCATTGGAGGGAGAAGGGTTCTGTCTGCCTAACGACCCTTTCCTAGCAGAATCATTGTAACATTGTCAGTTTTCAATCTTGAGTGAATTTAGAGTGAGAGATAAAGCATTTGTTTAACTCTTTTGCAGGGGCTCAACACACCACTGGCCAAAGAGATAATATTTTTTACAGGACCTGTGGGAGCTTCTGCTGAATGAAACAAAAGTTAGTAATGTTGTCACCATGGGAAAGTAAATACGTGCCATTGATCAGTTTTTGTACAGAAAAGTTTTTAAAACCATTAAAATCCGCTTTTTCCAAAAGGAAAAACATCTTGTTTGGTGTSACTTTTGTTATATTCATATTGCTTTTTTTTCTAATTATACTCACAATGTTKGYTTGTTTATAATTTTGAAAGTTTATCCTGTGTCCTCAAAACACAATTAGGCTAAACTTGTCAATTGTAGGACCTGCCTGAAGTGCAGAACCAGCATGTCAATGGAGTATGGGAGGAACCTCTTAGCATCTCTAAAGGCAACAGAGAAATAATACAGAGATGCAGTAAATGTGACTCAAATTGCAGCAGTTCAGAGGAAGAAATGAGGCCAGAGTGTCTTGTGATAGACCTTGCTTACAAATTGAATTGCACTGCTCATCTCTTATACAGCAAGGTAATACAGAAAAAGAGCGTGTTTATCATGCAATGTTTGTGTATTTTAAGGGAAAAAAGGTATAGGAGACCAATAGTTTCACCATAACGTTACAGAGTGAAAGGAATAGCCTTAGGCAGAAGGGAAAACATGGGTTGGCAGTGTTGTCATGGGGAAGGCAGAGGGTTCTGTGCTGCAGCTGATTCTCTGTAACAAAACTAACATCTCCCAAGTTTTAAACACACACAGTGAGTTATCCTTAAGTCTTTGTAGAAARAGTACCAGAAACAGTATCAGTATTTGATGGGTCAGTGACAGAGCTTATTCTAATGCAGACTCTGACAGCTGGTAATGCTGCTGTGGAGAGGTAGGGAACAGGACATTTTAACAGGGCTTTATTTTACAAAGACTGAGAGGATGCTTGAGATTTAATTTGTTTTCAGTCTTTTTCCCTGTTTCTGGGATATAGGGGGTGGAAGGAACAGAGGAAGAATTTTCCTCCTTAGGTATCTTAGTGTGAACAACGCTGACTAAAACAGCATTGTAGTGGTAGAAGAGTCTGCTTATAAATCTGTTTGCATGGTTCAATATTAGAAAATGTTTTTGTAAAGAGGTAGTTAAATAGGAATTGTCACCAAGTGCATTTGCAGGGGTTGCCAATTCCTTCCTTGTCAGCTTTAACAGTTGTTATTTCTTTAACTTGAAGAACAAGTAGGTGTTAGCAAAAGCCCTATTGGCCCTGGAGATACTAAAAGCTCTGGCTTAAATCCTCTACTTAAAATTCCAAGCAAAGTGACATTTCAAGGRTGATCCTAATTTTAGTCCTTTTCTRTTTTCCCTTTAYRAGTTGCCACAGGTTTTAAAAAAYGTGTTTCGTTGRAGTGACTAGCAACTACATACATGTTTTGTTCACTTGGYTGTGCCTGTGAAGTAGCACTGGAGTCCCCTACTGTCAGGTTGTTTTACTGTTGTGCAGCAGTTTGTTGGAGACCTGTGTGTAACCTGACTGGAGAACTACTCTCAGTACARCCCAGAACAAATGGGTTCATTTATCCCAAAGTCTGCTTTGGGACAGTACACACCACATTCTGTAACGCTGCTGAGCCCTTGGCTGGGCTCACTAGCACTAGAACTGAATCTACTTTTGTGACATGCACAGAATCACAGGCTGGGTGAGGTTGCTGGGGACCACAGTGGGTCATCTGGTCCAAYCTCTGCTCAAACAGGGCCATCCTAGAGCACATGGCACAGGACTATGTCCAGATGGGTCTCGAATATGTCCAGTGAAAAASACTCCACACCCTCTCTGGGCMATCTGTTCCARTCCTCAGTCACCTGCACAGGAGAGTTCTACCTAATGTCCAGGTGGAACTTCAYGTGCATCAGTTTCTGCCCATTGCCTTGTGTCCCAGTGGTTGGYACCACTAAGCAGAGCCTGGTTCCCTCTTCTTGGCATTCCTCCTTTAATACTGACACACATTACCCGTCTCTCCTCGAGGCTGAACAGGCCCAACTGCCTCAAGCCTTTCTTCTTGAGAGATGCTCCCCCCAATCATCCTCATGAAATCCAACCCTTCAAATACTCAAATTAAGACTTTTCGTTTTCCTGCCAACCGATGTCGCGCGGTTCCGCGGGCGGGGCGGGGCGGGGCAGGGCCGTTCCGAGCGCTCGCTGCCCGCGGAGCAGGGGCTGTGCCGGTGCGGGCCGGGCGCGCCCTTTCCCCGTGGCGGCTCCGCTCCGGGCCCACGTGGCTGCTGCGTCACGGCCGTGCCGGGCCAATGGCGGCGCGCTCGGGCGGGGGCGGGGCTGCGCGGGACTGCGCGCGGCTCCCGCGCCGGCGGGGTTTGGCAGCGGCGGCGGCGGCGGCGGCGGGAGCGCGGCGTAGGCGGCCCGGGAGCGGCTGCTCCGCTCCGGTGCGGGATGGAGCGCGGCGCGGCGGCGCTGATCCGCGAGGGCTGGTTCCGCGAGACGTGCCGGCTGTGGCCCGGCCAGGCCATGTCGCTGCAGGTGGAGGAGCTCCTGCACCACCAGCGCTCCCGCTACCAGGAGATCCTCGTTTTCCGCAGGTGCGGGAGGGCGGCCCGGGGCGGTGGGTGGGTGGCGGGGCCGGTCAGCGCCATGCGGTGGGGCCTGGCGGCGCGGAGAGGGGRCGGGGGAGCGCGGCCCCAGGCCGGCTCCAACCCCGCTTCCCCCGCTCTGCCCAGCACCACGTACGGCAACGTCCTGGTCCTGGACGGGGTGATCCAGTGCACGGAGCGGGATGAGTTCTCCTACCAGGAAATGATCGCCAACCTGCCCCTCTGCAGCCACCCCGACCCCCGCAAGGTGAGTGGTTCCCGGTCTCCCCAGCCGGGATCTGCAGACCCAGCCCGGCCCCTGCAGCGCTGTCTCGGCCGGGCCTGCCGTGGCCACCGGGGCGAGCGGGGCCGGCAGCCTCGTGGGCCCCGCGGTTCATCTCCGGCCGCCGGACAGCCACGGGTCCGCAGGGCTTCCGCGCTGCTTTCCTTCGGCCGTACAGCCAAAGTTCCCCCGAGCCGAGCCCTGTGACAGCCCGTGTTCTGCCCTCTCCTCTGCCAGGTGCTGATCATCGGCGGCGGCGATGGGGGAGTGCTGCGGGAGGTGGTCAAACACCCSACCGTGGAGTCCGTGGTGCAGTGCGAGATCGATGAGGTGCGTTGGGCAGGAGCCSCGGGGGCCTCGAGCTTCGGGCGGGCAAAACCAGCTTGTGCTGCCCGGCRAACAGCATCCACGGGAGCTGCGGCTTCACCTGCTGGCTCTCGTCAGCACCGGGCGTGTTTGCTGCCGGTTCTGCTGGCGTGACAATGACAGCGCCACCTCTTTGCCTTACAAGTCATCTACGTGGCAGCTGGCTGCCTCTTGCATGTGATTTCTTTGACACACATACGATTAAGGCCCTTCCAGGCAGACATGGGCCAAGCACGGGATCTGGAGGAGTGCCYTGGCTTTGTGGAGGTGCTGCTTTTSCCTCTCCCTCGCTGCTGAACACAGCAATGCTCCTGGCCAAGGAGGGTGGTTKCCTTGTTGAGCAATCTCTTGCAGCCAAAAGCAGGAAATAAGCAGCAGGATTTGTTTCTGTGGTAGATGGGCTAGTCCTCCTCCTCTCAGCCAGTTTGTTCTGATATTTTACTTTCTCAGAAAGTTTTGCTCAGRGCAAAGCTCTATTAAGAACGAGAAGTGAGAGTGTGTGCTCTGTGCCAGCTAAGTAGGCAAATGTGCCTGGTTTTGAACAAGACTGCCTGGCACTAGCATATCTTTTTATTTCTGCCAGCTGTGAGGAACTGGTAGTGTTCAGTACAATTGCTGGGCCCAGGGCAGCAGCTGTCTAACAAATTTAGAGAGAAAACTGTATCTTAAAGGGGGATTGATATAATGGTTACCATACAGAGATGTGTCTTGCATCCAGAAACCTGCTGGCATGGTTTTACTTAGAAAAAGAAATGGATTTAGCTGTGATCACCTATGGAAGTGATGTMCTGTAGGAAAAAGGASCACAGAGCAGTCTGACCTGTAACCRTATTTGCTGGGTTCCTYAGGGAGCTTTTGAAGCTCCAATTTTTGTTGAGTTTGGCATGGACAGACCAACAGTGTCACTGRACCCTGAGGCTGTAGGAAAGGGCTGAGTGTAGCTTGCTGGCTGAAGATTCTGGCAGCTCTTGWGGATTTCACTGTCGAGTCAGATTTGTGCTGAAGGTATGGAAGGAAATTCCTCATTATGCTGTTCTGCCAGCCACAAYTGCACAGCAGTCTGAGGAGCAGCTTCCTCTAAGCCCCCTCTGATCCACTTGTGCTCTCTGTGTTACAGGATGTGATCCAGGTATCTAAAAAGTACCTCCCAGGGATGGCAGTGGGGTATTCCAGTGCAAAGCTGACCTTGCATGTGGGAGATGGTTTTGAGTTCATGAAACAAAATCAAGAAGCCTTTGATGTGATTATCACGGACTCATCTGACCCCATGGGTAAGAATTCTAGCCATAAAAGGGCACTGCTTTCCACACACCACCTCTGTTTTTTTTCTTTGCCTACCTCTTGAGAGCTATGCCAGCCTGTTCAGGATCCTTTCAAGCTGACTTGGTTCTTGAAAAGACTGTTTCCTGACTTGGTTCTTGTAGTTGGGAAAGGGAAGGATGGAAACCATAAAATAGTATTAGCAGGTCTTCAAGCCAGCTGTTACGTTTCTCTCCTCAAAATTCATCTCCAACAACTATTTCTTCTGGCAGAGTTGTTCCCTGAGTCCAGCAATCCCATGGGGGATGCAGCTCCATGCTGGGAAGGGCAGCTTTGCACATGTGCCTGCTGATGAAGCAGTGGCTCACACATTGTTGGTGCAGCACCTACCCTGAAGATGGCTGTGCTGAGGCTGCTGTGTTTCTGAAGGGGGAAACTGAGGTAGAGAGGGACCAAATGTAGATATGGCACCTCATTTTAGGARCCCAGTAATCAGTGCCAGAGTCGCCTTCAGTCTTGCTCTAGTCAGCACGTAGAGAGGCATATCTAAAAGGCAATTTGAAGCAGGAGTTTAAAAATGCTTAAAAATGTCCTGTGAAGCAAGAGGCAGCTGCTAGGAATTTGTCTGGTGGAGGATCTGGGTTTGCCACTTAGCAAAGCTTATTTAAATCATTGCTGGTTTGCCCTTCTAGGTGCAGGCTGGGGTTCAGCCAGGGCCAAAACTTTTCTTTATTCACCTTTCTCCCAGGTCCTGCAGAAAGTTTGTTCAAAGAATCTTATTACCAGCTGATGAAGACAGCCCTGCGAGAAGATGGGATTCTCTGCTGCCAAGGTGAGGAGGCTGTCCCTGGGCAGAGGTTGATGCCAGACCTTTACATACCAARTGAGGCACAGAGGGGACTCTGCTTGGGGAGATGTGATGCATGTCMTCTTCCCAGGTAGAGCAGTGGTTTTCACCTCTGTCATCTCATTGATTGCTGGACTGGGCTTAGCAAAACTGGCATCAGGGTCTTGTCTTTGAAACTGCGTGAGATATACAGGTTGAGACTTGGAACCACCGTCAGCCTGGCACAGTTCTGTGCAGAGAAGAGGGGCAGCTCTCATCTTGAATCTTGGATTTCCTTCCTCGCTGTAGGTGAGTGCCAGTGGCTGCACCTGGATCTCATTAAAGAGATGCGTCAGTTCTGCAAGTCTCTGTTCCCAGTTGTGGAATACGCCTATTGCACCATCCCCACATATCCCAGTGGGCAGATCGGCTTCATGCTCTGCAGCAAGAACCCGGTGAGTTTCAGGCACYTCGGGTGCCCTTTTCCATTCCCTGGAAGTGCCTGCCTGAGGCTGTCCCTTGTAGAGTTTGAGCTGTGGGGCTTTGAGCTTGGTGATGGTTCCTGGCTCTGCCAGCCCCSAGCCCCAGGGCTGCAGTACAGCCTGCTCCGTGCTCAGTGAAGTGCAGAATTGACCAGTTGCTTTAGAAATTGTCACAATTTTCTGTCTAGTACAACAAGCTTGGAAGGGAGGAAGCCATTACCAATTTCAAGAGCGTTTTAGGGCTTTGGTTTATTAATGCTGTTACAAAGAGGGCACCTGCTAAGAATCAGCCTGTGTGTGTTAGGAGGTGGGCTGGCAACTGTCAGACCCCTGAAGTTTATTCTTTTTCCAGTCTGAATGTGACTGTCAGATGGGTTTAAGGTGCTAGCATTGTGCTGCTGTACTTGATTAATCTGGGGTACTGGTACCATGCACTGTGCCAAACTTAATGCAAACGTGGATTCTCCTTTGAAGAGCAAAGTCCTGCTTCTGGGATGCTCAGGTTTTCTCAGGGTTTCATCTGGCACGTGGCTCGTGCAGTCTGACATCTGTGCATACRGGCTGGTCACAGGAATTAAAGAGAATAAACCCCAGCCCTTGGGACTGTGGCTGTGCAGAACCTTTGACCTCGTACTAGAACAGAAAATGATTTCTTTTATTTTGAGTCCTCTCAGTTCTCTGCCATGTATCAGGGTTGCTTGTCACACAGCCCTTGGCTCCTTATGCAAACAGTCAGAGCTACCTGGCTTTGTTTTTGCAGAACACAAACTTCCGAGAGCCTGTGCAGCAGCTCTCACAGCAGCAAGTGGAGGAGAGGAGTCTGAAATACTACAACTCTGATATTCACCGGGCAGCATTCATTCTGCCAGAGTTTGCACGGAAGGTAAGTGAGGCTGTGCCACAATTCCTCCCTCAAGGATGAAGCAGGATTGGGATTAGACAGGACTGAGAATTTCTTGCAGTCCCAAAGGTTTTTGTGGGCAAGTCAGAGCAGGACAGAGCAGAGTATGAGTCAGTCAGGGAAGGCTGGATTTAATTTAGGAGCCGTTCTTTGGGCTGATGTCCCATGCTGTATGACATACCASTCCTACATCACCTACCAAAACCAGGTCCAAGAGCCTGCAGAACTGGTGTTTCCCACTGGAAATCTCCAAAAGTCTTGGATAAAACTTGATTGTGGTTTCTAGCGCAAAGCAGAGGGTAGAGAGGGGATGCTCCAGCATAGTTCAATCTGGCTTCTTGAAAGATAGTCTGTATTTCTGCATTATTCCATTGTCTCCCCACTGGGCTGCAACTGCAGGTTCCAGAAAAAACTCCTTAGAGTGCTGTAGGTATGAAAGCAAATCCATAACTGTGTTGCAGAGGTGGTGATCATATTTCTGCTGAGTACTGGTAGAGCTGTGGCAGGTCCATTCTGACACTTYGGTTCTCTGCAGGCCCTGAGTGATGTGTGAGACCAAGAAGCTGCTTCCTTCCTTCAAGTTGGACCCTGAGATTGTCGGTGATATGGTTGGGACCTTCTCAGCAGACTGTGGATTTGCTCTTCACTGTGTGGGATTGTTTAACCCTTGGCCAGCCAACATTCCCTTTGATGTGTTAAAGATGATGGGGCATAAGCCAGATAAGACTATTGGAAAGGTCCAGTGACTTAGTGCGTGAGGTCAAAACTGTTCTTTCCAGTGCTGGAAACGTAAGATGTCTTTTTCCTTTCTCTCCTCCCCTCACCAATTCTAAATTTCATCCCACATCCCCCTCCCCCCCAACCAACGTGATGTATTTATAACTGACACATATTTCTGTCTGGTGGTCTGGGAAGAGTCCAAAGGGTCCCTGACTCAGCCTTAAACACAGARAGAGAGAGAGAGAGAGCTTTGTGCACAGTTAGCTCGCTCTCTCCTCGTGGGAGCTCTCTGCTGCTGAGACATTTTGACTGGTAACAGGTCTGAACCTTGGTGTCCCCCTGCCCTGCTGTGACTCCTGCACTGCTCTGCAGCTCAGCTGGAGAAGTCACAGTGCAAACTGTTGCCATTCACAATAAGTCTCACTCCAGCCCTGATGGAGTAGCAGTATTAAACACCAGCCAGGCAGGCTGGCAGCAGTCGTGTGGCTTTTTTCTTTTAATCGTTAATTTTTAAAATTGGTTAGAAACAGAAGTGCTGAGGTACCAGGCTGACTCCTGTTCTCACCTCTGCCCTCAGAGGGGTTCCAAAGAATGTTTTATCGATACGGTGATTGGCGCTTTATATATTTATATATATATATATGTATAAAAAATAAACCTTAGCTGCTGTTCAGTACTGATGTTGGGGAGTCAATTGTGCTGACAAATCTCTCATCTCAGTCACGCTGAGATGCCTCAGGCCTGGGTATTTGCAAGTTCTTAGGAGGCATCATTATTTCTAATGCTGTCCCCAGATGCATAAGTTGTTTCTCGTTGTACTCTGCAAGATGGAACTGCCTCCATTTCTTTCCTCTCTGAAGACTCCACACCCCAGCACAGTGGGAATCACCCTCCAGCACCACCACTGTGCCACTGTCACTTCCTGCACTCGATTAAACACTCGGCTCTGGTTAAGGTGACATCATTGTGGGTCAGTGTTCTTTTGGGAGASAGTGGCAGAGGAAAATGGAGATCCAGAAGGTTTGTTGTGCTTCCAGGTGCACTCTCTAGTTGGTCTGACCTGCTCTCTCATCTTTAGGGATGACAAGTTATGAAAAGTAAGCTCTGAAGAGTGATCATGCTGCATGTTTTGTATTGTAGCACAGCTGCACCATAGCTCCTCCATCTTCTGTCAGCCCCTCTGCTGCAGACTCAGTACCTGCTATCCATGTCCAAATGCTGCTATTCTCCAKKCCAAATGCTGCCTCTGSTATAGTTTTCTGTCTCCCTGCTGCYATCAGATGGTTCTGCCAGTCTTGGCCTCCCTGAGTTGCACCTTCCTTTCCTCTGCAGAAATGGCAGTGGCTCAGGGGCTCTGAGCAGGCTGGGGAAGGGCACTAGATGGCATCAGGAGAAGACAGAAATGCTCCTTCTGAGAGGCTTCTCAGCTTGGTAAGAGAGAACTAGAGGAAGCTGATTTCAGCAAAGGYTGTGGTTGAGCTTTGCTGTGATAGTGATCCAACAAACAGTGTAGCTGGTCCATCCACTGTGCACTCACTGCAGAGGATTTGTGAGGTCAGTACTCTGCTGCTTTCTCCTATTTCTGATGAGACTTAGCACTTCCTTCCCAGTGTTCCCTTCTGTCACCAGTATCAGGATGGTTTCTTTGTGGTCTCAAGGGTTTGCAGAGCATTGCTGAGCTGCAGAGCTGAGTTTAGATCTCCTCTATCTCCTCTGTTCTTGTCTTGAGAAGATAACACCTAATTTTCTCTTAATTGTCTGGGTGACTGTCTTCTTTCTCACACAGCTACCAATTAGTTTGGGCTAATGAGGCATTTTCATTGCTCAACTCTTGTATTTTTATAAGGAGCAGACCAATACTGGAGGTTGGTTCTAGCTCCTCCTGTTTAAATTCCTGTGGCACCTGAACCTCACTCAGCCCTTCATCCTTGACAGAAAACTAGCTCTGGCACTTTCCCCTGGAATGGGAATCAAGASCAGGATTGTAGTCTGGGAAGGCCTTAGAGCAGCAGCCAACTAGTAACAAGTTCAAGCCTTTCACCCACCCTTGCTGAGTACAACAATGCCCAGGAGCAAAGGAGCTTCCTCAGACCTGTTGTTGGCCTCCACACAGCTAATCATTTCTTCTAGATCTTTGAGCTGTCTCCAAATGTGTGAGTTCAGCAAGTGGCCAGTGATGAGAGCAGGAAGACAAGGCTGCTTCCCATCCAAGTCATGCATACTCTGTCCACTGGGCCCTGTATATATAATTTCTGAGTGATTTTAAGTCACTATTCTCCACAGACAGTTCCAAATATTTCAGTGCCTTCAGTGTGAGAAGTCAGAGATCAGTGCCTGAATCAAGCACTCATTAAATGACTGCAGCAGGAGAGGGAGCAGGGGCTTGTGCAGCTGTGGCTGGTTCCACCTGAGCAGCTCTGAGTTCCAGGCTCACAAATCACCCCTGTGCTGAGCACTGCCATGGCTCTGTGCCCTGTGAGCTGCTGGGATGGTGTTTGGCTTCTGCACAGTGTCTACAGRTCCATCATCCCTTCCACAAATTTGTGTCTGAGCTGTTAACACTGCAGGCTGTGGTGGCCAAGGGCACTGAGGGTTGAAGCAACAGGAAATTTGGGTAATGCTCAGCAAGAGGAAACTGCAGGATCTCATGTAGAATTGAGCACCAACCACTTGAAAGTGACTTTTGCAGTGTCTCTAGGTGGGCAGCTAAAATACCTGAGTAAACATTTTCAAAGTTTTAGCTGCTTTTTGCCTAAGGCTAGTTAAACAAGGCTGCTGGTAAGCAAAGAGTCACAAAGATGTTTGTCGAGGCATGCTGCAGTCATGTTCCAGCATCTCATTAAGCCAGGAGCACATGAACAGGGGTAGTTTTTGTTCATTAAGCCAGGAGCATATGAACAGGGGTAGGTTTTGTCCCAGGTAATGTACAATGTAATGTCAGTCAGAGCAGGTGGAGACAAGCAAGGGAATGGAGCCTGATGGGCTTCAGCACATCCGCTGCTGAAGTCTCTTGTGCCTTTTGAGYTGTGTCAAATTGCTCTGAGCTTTACTCATTGAACTAACTCAGTTTTTAGAAGTTCAGAAAATAGTTTCAAAAAACTTAGAGAAACCTCTTGCCTGTGTCTCTTGAGTGCTTTTAGTCAGTTAATTGGCATGAGTGTCATATTCACCCACAGCTAAAGTTGTAGAGGCCTGGCTGAATTGGTGATGGAGCTTGGCTGGAGCTGCTGAAAAATGACATCTTTTATAAGAACAGCAGTCTCAGTAAGCAAGCAGTCAAAAAAAAGATTAAAAAGTGCCACCAGGTTCAGGGAGAGGTAAGTTCCCTTGTTAAAATGATGGGGGAAGAAGAGGGAAAACTGTAAACAACATAAAACAACAGCTCGGGTGTAGCAGASGAGCAGTCAAAATGCTGTTACAAAMTCAGATGAGAAATCTGACCAAGTTAAATTCTGAGGAGGCTGGGGAATGGTCTTTCCTAGTCATGTGCAGGATGGAGTTTAGTGCTTTTAAAATATGCAAGAGGTGGGGAAGTGAAGCCAGAGAATTAGAGTTACAACACAGTGATGTGTGAAGCAGATAAATATGGGGGTGTTCATACAAATGTTAGGGATCTCAGTGCAGGCCTTCCAAGGATAACAGCTCCATGGCTCATGGGGTTTCAAGTGTGAAGTGCTGCCAAAGCAGGGACTCTGCAGACACCTCACAGGAGGCCTCTCCTTGGTACTTAAGGGCTGCTGCAGCAACCCACAGCTGAGCATCTCCAGCAAGGAATTTACTAAACAAAGCTAATTCTGTGTGCCAGGGTTCAGAACAAGATGATGTATGTGATGCCCCTGCATTTGTTCCTGAAGCTGTARGAAAGGAATAACCAGAACCCCACAGTATCTGCAGTTCCTGAGTAAGGCTATCCCACCCGAGCAGTGCCTTCTGTCTGTAGTGCTGACAGTGCACAGGCTYAGGTGTTAATGCCCCTGGTGAGCTCTTGGAATTCCCACAACATTTAGTGCAAAAGTAATCCAAGTGGTAAAGGAACATTTCTGCCCAACTCTTGTTCAGCCAATCTTGCCCCTTGGCACAAGTCTGGTGTAACAGAGGTCAGTGCATGGTAGTAGATAATAACCCCAGGCACAGCCTGAAATGCCTGCTGCTTGGAGCCAGGCAAAATGTTCCACTGGAAAACACGGATTTTAAAATAGAAGTGTTCCATAGCGAGTAGTTATTTTTGAGGAAGATTTTTGGTGGAATGACTGAAATGTTGAAACTTCGCATGCAGTCAACAGAAGGCTTTGAGCATACCACTGAAGCATTTTGCTTCCCTTCCCTCATCCTCCTGCAGTCCCTTTGGGTTGGCAGAGACAGTCACACAACTCCCCCTCCCCAGAGAGCCATGACAGCTTGTAGATGTGTGCTGGGAGAGGAGCATCCTGCCATCAATTCCCTGGGTTTGTTGGATTAGTGCCAGTGAAAAACCATGGCTGAAACAGCCACCTGCATACTCCTCCAGGGCACTGCACTGGGCAAAACTGCAAACCTGAAATGAGCTGTAATTTCAAGCCTATGAACAAATTCGTTTCCCCTTCCAGGAAGTCTCACAACTGTCAGCTAACTATTGCTTTATTTATTGCATTTGCCTTTGTAACTTGAGGGCAGAGAGCAAGGGTTCCAGTGACAGGAAGGTGTTTTAATTCTTCCTTCAGCTGCAGGTGAGTGCCTTATCTTTGAGAACTAGAAACTTCTGGAAGCCTGGTGTAATTCTGCTACATGCTTCAAGACATGGTGACCTGAACCCAGGGCAAAAGACAGCAAAAATTCAGGCCATAGAGGAGAGCAATTGAGGAATTACCTCATTCCTTAATATGGCATTTGGTGCCAGGCAGAATGACAGCTCTTGTGTTCCTGCAGTGCTTTGCTGCTGCTCTGACACACTGAGGAAATGTCAGGGGCCTCTTGAATGATAAAACCTCTCSCACTGCATGTTGTATGTGCAGCCTTCAACATAAAAAGATGGAATTTCTCTCGAGTGTTGGTGGAAACGTGTTCTGTACTTCTGAACCCAGAACTGAACCCACTTCTGTACCTCTGCATCTCTGCTGGAGCTACGCCAACTGTGAGACAAAATCCTTGGAGAGGCAGGTCTTTTCTAGTTCCTGTACATGGAAATTCCTTCTGGAGCTTGCCCACCCCGGGTTCCCGTGGTTGTGTTCACAGGTTCACTGATTTCAGAGAGATCTGCCCTCACTGTGAAGTGCCAGAAATCACTCAGGCCATGTGCAGCTGAGGGCAGGAGAGCATCAAGGAACACAACTTCCAAAGGGGTGAGTCAGATAACAGAGAAGGTGGTAAGAGGAAAGAATAATCTGAAATGTTTATTGTTCCAAGGGAAGACCTTTACCATTTTCTCTACAGAGTCATAAGCATTTTAGGGTTAGGATAAAACAAAAAAATCAAGGCCTTCTTAAAGGTCAGACAGCAAATGGACATGGAATGGGAACAGTAGCAATGAAGAAYACTCCTGATGCTATGTTGAACTCTTATCTGATTACAGAAAAGAGCAAGTTTTATCACCCAAGAATTATTTTCCTTGTTTTGGAGAAGGAGGTGGTGCTGTATCTTGTAGTGAGGAAGTGGTCAGCAGCATCTGCTGGAGGACAGACTATCATAGGGGAAGCAGCAGAGGGAATGTGAGGAAAGGGAAGGACACTGGGGTATATGTAGGAATGTGGGGAAGAGGTGCCTGATATTGAGGGAAGCGGTAGCAGAACTCAGGGGGAACATCTTTGGATTTAGAGATCCATTCCTACTGTGGGCACTGGAATGTAAGTGCTTTGATGTGRCCCTGTTCACTCCCTCCCAGCTGGGAACAGACATTCAGCCTTGCCCAGGACAGATGCACAGATTTTGGCTGTTTTGCTTGTCAGCAGGGCCACAGGCCTTGTGCTGGTGTATCTGAGCAGAAACTCTCTCCAAAGCCACYCCTGCTCACAAGGKAACAGTTATTTTATTACTGCCCTTWAATTCCAGGACAGATTCACAGCAGCCTGGTCTCCCTGGGTCTTCTTAAAATCTGACCTCTGGCTCAACACATCCTCCCCATTTTGGTGGAAGCATTGTCACACTTGTGGCCCTGTTGGCTCAATGGAGTGTGATAGAAAGCAGCTCATTCCGACAGCAAGCAGCTGACAATGGTGTGTTTGTTGGAACAAGCAGTTTGGGGTGGAACAAATGGCCCCAGCATGGAGATCTGCC